TTTAAGGAAAGAATATGCCTGTGAGTTTGTTGCATCACAGCTTTCTAACACAGCCCATAGTGATGTGAGAAAATTTGATTTCTTGTTCTTTGTCCCTTCCATAACTATCCATTTTCTACAGATGCCCATAACACATTTTCCGTGTCTTGCTCTTAGTGCCCAGCTTAGACAAATATAACCTGCTAACAACGAAGGAACAAAGGAAGAGCTTCATCTCACATGGTTTTGGATAGCTTTGTCTGAGTAATCCAGACACTTTTCATAGTTGAGCTAGAGAAAAAGGTCTTCTAGAATGCAATCCATCCTCTGTGGGGGTGGACTTCTAAAACAGGTCTGAAATATGATTCTGGGGGACTGCCCTTTTCTCCTCATTGACATATAGACAGCTCAGATGTGGACATCACAGAATGGCTTGGGTTGGAAGAGCCTTTTAAAGATCATCTTGTCCAACCTCCAGTGCTATAGACATCTGATATTAGATGACATCTAATCAATTTGTAGCATCCTAAAGACTTGTTAATATTACAGTGTTCACAGTTTTCCTGAGCCATCTATTTTCAATACATGAAGAAAAAGAGGTCTCAATCTGTTGCTATTTTTCCTTGTTTGGTTGGGTTTTCCCGTGTATAAATTGTTGTTTTGTTTGCGTTGTTGTGTTATTTAGTATTTCAAGTCCCTATGGATACATATATGATTAGACATTTTAGCCATTGCTTCTGTTTAATGTGTTTAGTACCATTTACTTTTCTTCATCCTGCAGTTAAAAGCAAATAATGTGAACATGAGAAATGATGAGGGGATAGTTACAGTAACATTGATGGATTTTTGGTTGGGCTTTTATTTCTCTGTTGAATGTCCTGCATTGACCAAAGGAAACAATATAAGACTCCCTCCTGTATTTTTCCTCTTACTAAACTGTAGTTCAGCATTGGATTTTTTGACGGTATCCAAAAAAGGGAAGTAATTCTCTTACATTTCAATGTAACTGATCCAGGCTAGAAAAGAAGACTGCTGAAACTGCCAAAAAAGGAAATACTTGTTTTTGTATTCTTATTGTGTGCTTTCGCTTCTTTAATTCCTGTATAAAATCCCAGCAGGATTTATGAGGCAAAGATCATTGAAGCTTTAGCATCAATGGCATATAAGTTTCCAATTTAACCTAAAGTCTCTCTTAATAAGACTTTATTTTTATATATAAGAATCCTGCACAACATGGAGGGCCAAGGACCTGCCAAACTGCCATACTCCTCCTGAGATCATCTGTGCAGAGAAAAGTTGTGTCAGACTTTGTGCAAGGGCACAAAAACTGGATGGTACTACTCAGTCCTAATTCAATGGCTTGTAGTCCTACAGCTTTGTCTGAGTCAGGTCTGTGTCAAAATAGAAAGTAGACTTAGGTATCTGACTCTGTTTATCATGCTTTGTGAAATCAGCTGTGCCTCTATTAAAAAGAAGTTAATTATTTAGTAAATCCCATTCTTTTACTCACTATACACTTTTAGGACCCACCTGCTTCTTCCATTAATATTAAAAATTGGCGAGGTGTTTGCATGGGTGACTAATTCATACACCAGAAGTGTAGGCCTGCTGATCATGTCTAAGCAAGCAGTAGCCTGGGTAGAGAATGTTTCACAGATACTTCCCATAAATGTTAGGCCTTTTGATCTATCGCAGTTGGACCAGATGATCGCTGTTGGCCCCTTCCAACTCAATTATTCTATTCTATTCTATTCTATTCTATTCTATTCTATTCTATTCTATTCTATTCTATTCTATTCTATTCTATTCTAATGTAGCAAGCCATCAGCAGCTGCAGATGTACATATACTGTATAAAAATTACATAGCTCTAGCACAGAGCTCATGGCTGAGCTGGAAAGACATTTTCTAGGGACTCCTGATCTTATGCAGTTATATTCCACTTACTCAAATCTATAGCCACATCTGACATATCACAAGCAGGATCATAAAAGTGCTTTTAAATTGTTCTCTTTTATTTCAAAATGAAAATAGAAAAATACCTCTTAATTATGTTACTTTACCTTCAGTACATCACAAGCCTTAAGAATTATGGCCCGATCTCCTTGCTGAAGAGGCTCTTTTTGAGAATTTGTTTTTATAATTACTGCTGCCAGCATGCCATATGGTAGATTAATACCATGCTTCCAGAGTGGCGTAAGTATTTCCTAGAGAGGGAAACTAAGGCATAGAGAGGTTCTCCTTGGACCTTACAAAAAGTCAGATTCAGAAGCAGAACTAGAGCAAAGAGTTTCCAGCTCCCCTCTGTGGGAGTTTCTCATCATGAGAAACTATGGTGGAAAGAAAGTGGTACTTGAGAGCAAGAAACTGCTTTCCAAGAATAATTCTTTCCTTATGCTACATAAATAATGGTAACAGCCCCCACATTAGTTCATGTTTCAGGACAGAAGAAAATGTACCTTGCTTCAGACTGCAATTGAAATGAAGGTTTTGTTCTTGTCAACCTCCTGTTAGAATTTATAACTGCACCTAACAGCTTCAGGAGAGCTTTTGTGATTTATGTTTTTAAGAAGGATCATTCCAGAAAGCTCTCAAGGTTTACTATTTCTTTAAGCACTGAATTAGCCTCCTTAGTGGAGCCAAAGATTTATTTCTACCTTTGAGCCACAGTGTCATTTTCCTTTCCCAAGCATTCGCAGCTGTTTAAGTGCCTGCTAATACAAGAAGTTTCAGCCTCTACATTTTTTGTATGTTTAGAGTTTTCATCCTTTGAGTGATTCTCCTTTGCTGAATGCTGAATATCTATGCCTGTTGCTGATGTCTTATGTGGGAAAACCTGGGTGTCAGACAAGCCACCGAGATGCACACTTTTATCTGGGAAAGTCTGAGCTCAGAGATGGGCTCTGGAGGGGATGGGAATACTTCCTTCCCAATCTTCAGTGAACATACAGAGACACCTGAGTATCCATGCCACAGGCTTGGAAGTCCACTGGGTCCTTAGAATGTCTTTTCTGCTTTAAAGCTCTGGGTTAGTGCCGGTTAGGGACAAACCTACCGTGTATGTTCTGAGTACTGCAGAGATCTCGTGTAACAGCATTGAGTCTGCCCAGTAAATGGCACTTCTTGATTCTTTTCAAGTTCTGTCCATATTTTGCAAGTCTCCAGCCTCCCAGTCCAGAAGTATGGCTTTTGTTAATTTTAAGGCTTTGTTCTTGACTCTCTCCGATTCTTAGATTCAGTCATGCCAAACTCCCAGTCACATATTGCAGCCATTTACTGAATGCCTATAAGCATTAACCCCAATACACTATACCCATACATAGAAATGCAAAAACTCTGCTTGATAACAACTGCAAAATCGGTGCTGATCAAGAAAACTCAAAATGTGTTATTTTCCCACACGGATGTTTTTGCATAGTATTACAGAAATGCTACCCTTTCTGCATTTTACTCTTTTATGGCTTAAATCAAGAACAGAATGCCAGACATATTCACTGTACAAAGCAATTTTTCTTAGATCTAGAAAGAAGTTGTGGTGGCACATGCTGTTTAGCGACCCAATCTAGGAACTACAAGATTTGCTGACAGGGTTTGCTGGCTGTTAGATCTGGTTCTGCTTGACTCCAGGATCATGAATATCTCCTTTTTGATTATGTTTCCTAAAAATGTGTTTTACGAGAAAGAGGACAAAGCAGACCATCCACATAAGCAGAGGATATCTCATGGCAAAACCACCAATGACAAAACTAGTAGCTAATTACAATGAGTAGAAGGGGAAAATGGTGCCGTGAATGCTAGTAGAATTCATAAAGTTAGTAAAATACAATGTATGTACAAAATCATAGTTTAGTTTCTGGCTATCTGCTGTGTTCAAGCTAAGCAAAATTCAAAGTAATATCTTCAGGAGGTATCTTGTGAAGACAACTGTTCTGTATTGAAGATAAACTTACAGCTGTTTATTTTATTTAATTAACATCTTATTTGTTCTACTATGTTAAAAGGTTGATATGCATATAAATTGAATCTTTGGATAAATAGCACTATTAATATTATACTGTAAAAGAAGAAGGAAAGATGTGAGCACTGGACTGTCTTCAATCAAACTGAATTGAATCACAGAAATATCCTGTAGTTTACATAACGGGCATGTTGGTAGTCAGGTGAGATGGTGACAAACATAAGCTATTAGGGTTAAAAAGGGTTAAAAGTGTATATGACATAAAATTACAGAATGTGTAAGATTGGAAGGAACCATAGTGAGTCATCATCTGGTCCAACCTCTCTGTTGAAGCAGGGTCATCCTAGACACATTGCACAGGACTGCATCCAGATGGTTCTTGAGTATCTCCAGTGAGGGAGACCCCACAACCTCTCTGGGCAATCTGTTCCAGCGTATGGGCACCCACACAGTAAAGAATGAATGATTCCTGAGGCACACTTTCTTCCCTCTGTACTAACCTACCTCCATCTGAAAAAGCAGAGCTTCACTCCCCATCCCCAGGCAGTGTGCACAGGCTGCTTCACCCATTCTTTCCTCCCTGGCAGCTGCTCTGCCTGCTCCCCATGAATCAAGCCATGTTCTCCTTATTGGGGTACCAATGGGAAGTTTCCATGCTTCCCTCTTTCCCTTCCTGGTGCCCCTACAAGGCAGGGAGCACTGGGTGCTACAGGAGACTTGCATCCCTCTCAAACACACACACGCGCACACGTAAATATGAACCATTATGTCTATGTAGCTAATCGAAGTGTGCAAAATACAAAAGAAAAAAGAAAACCATTTAGAGTCATCTCTTTAGTGTTTGTATGTGTGATATCGAGGACAAATATTTGGATTTCACGTGTGGAGGTTCAGTCCCACATAAGTCAAACCTGCATTTTTTGCAGGTGGAGAAGTACAGTTAAAACTGTGAAGCCAGTTAAAAGCACATTATTGTCAATAGCATGATCCTGTAACTAACAGTATTTTTCTTCTTCTTTCCTTTTAGTTTGAGCTATCGCAGTGTCAGCAACAATCAGGAGAAAATGCGAACATTTGCCTCAATAGCCCAGAACACATGGGAAATTTTTATATCTGAAAGGAAGCCTGGCTGGAAGTCTTGGATGAAGCTTTTTGGAGTTTGCTTTGCAGTTGGCTTCCTCTCCAGCTTTCTTTTTTTCCTTGGCATGCACTTCTCCCTGGCACACCACTCTTTGGGTCCCTTACTGATTTCTGGATTCATCTGGATCTTGTTTTCTGTCATGCTCTTCTGTTTCAAGCACCTGCGCTGTTTTAGTGTCCTGTTCCTTTTTTCCTGTGGACTGAAAAATGGCAGGAACGCTCTTATTACTGCTGGCACAGGTGTCATGGTGGCCAACAACATCCAAAATATTTTTCACAACCTAAAGGTTCTGGCAGACACCATAACCTGTCATTTGAAGCATGAGCAATTTGCCTTGATAAAATATTATGTTGAGGCAGTGAAATGGATTTACGAGTCAGCCAAGCTTTCCACTGTACTACCTAAAGATATAGTGATCTTAAAGCATGAATTCACACCATCTTATTCGATTTCAGATGATGCATTAAAACAAGAGCTAAATGACACAAAGCAAGAAATCCAGAGAGTTGCTAACCAGATATATTTTATGCTGACTATACTGCCCTACATAGGCCAGAAAGTGTTGCCGGTCACTGGGATTTTTCTAGTTTCTTTTGGAACTGGCCTTTTTATCAAAAAATTTTTGGGTTCTCACAGTACCAAATTTAAAAATACTTATATCACAAAAGAGTTCATTGCATTTGATGAGCACCAAAAGCAACAGCAAAAACCATGTCTTTTGCCACTTAACAGAAAAGAAAGAAAAGATTATGTGACAATCCCATCTTTCTGCTTCACAAGAAAAGACAGGAAAAAAATACTGTATTTTTTTCTCCCTGTAATTATTCATCTTTGCATCTGGCTTCTGTTTGCTGCAGTAGACTATTTGTTTTATTGGTTAATTATTTCGGTGAATAAATATCTCCAAGAAGTACCGGATCTAGAGATTCAACTCAGCCTCTCTCAGAATGTAAGTACTTATCAGTACTGTACATTTCTTAGTTTAGTGTTGAAAAATTTCCCTTCATCTTCAGCAGCTGCAAGAGCAGACACATAGCCAATGAGCCATCAGCTCTTTCATGGAATATCATTCATTTCAAAAAGGGACATTGCCGTTACAGATACATATGTTGGATAGAACCAGACAGTTTTCTGCACTTTCCAGAGCATCATCAATTTTCTAGAGAATGGTAAATATTAGAAGGACTTTCCTTCTTCCATTTATATATATGAAGAAAACCAGAAGCTTAAAATGGGACACTCGCAATGCTGACATTTGTGAAGCACCACTTTTATAGTCAAAAGTCACTGTGACACTGATGCAATAGATGCCTACCTTTCTTTAGCTGAGTAGTGTGAGGAACTAGTCAGTTGTATGCGTGGTGCATGCACACAAAATAATAGCACATTACTGGAATCTCAAGGTTCATCTAGCAGGAGCAGCAGTGGCATAGAGAATCATAGAGTAATTAGGTTGTAAGGTAAGTCTGGAGGCCATCTAGACCAACCTCTTGCTCAAAACAAGGACAATTTCAGAGGCAGATCAGGTTGCTCAGGGTCTTGTCTGAATGCTCCTAAAGGTGGAGATTCCGCCACTGGAATGTGTGACCCATGTGGTGCTTTTAGTGCAAAGGACAGCTGTCCAGTTCGATAGCTTGCAAGATCAGGCTTAAAACACTTTCTGAAGGTATATAACCCTTTGATACTTTCAAGATAAAAAGGTTTCAAGGAAATGCTTGACTGTTAGTACAATATGGTATATTCTCTTTCTTCTATAATTTTTTCTTACTCAGCATTTTCTGTTACCTCTTAGATCTCATAATAATGAGTATTCATTCCCATTTTTCTCCATCCCCTAAAAACTAATCAGTTTCACAGAGTAAGATTATTAAGGTGAACAATGCAATAGGTGCATTGCTTGAAATCACAAGCATACAGAACAGGATGTACAATATTTGGCAGAGAGATTCTTTGTCACTTTTCCATATGTAACATATTGAACCTCTGAGCTTCTTCAGCCAGGCCACATTTTCTATGACACACTGCTAAACCACTGCAGGTTCAGCTTAGACAGTGTTGTGGCAGATTGGTTGTCCCAGTGTGTCATGGGATGTTCATCTGGTTGGGACTGTGTCATGAAGGGGAGAAGAGATATAGTGCACAGCATCCTCGAGGAAGGAGAGCACTTCCAGCAAATGTGAGCTACAAATGAAACCAGCTGGAATGAAGTCAAGCTGCTGGTGAAATTCTGTCAATATTTTGTATTGTATATCAAAATATCAAACTCTTCCATGGGATAAAAATTAAATTATTGACTAGTTTTACCTTAGCAAAGAACAGAAAAATTTGGTATCTGTATGGCAGTCATAAGCCAAATGTTCACAGATTGTTTCAGTGAAAAAACATCTTTCCTAGGGGACGGAGGCCACAAACTTCTAATTATTACCTTTCTAATTGTTACCTGAACCTTCTTTAAGGAAGGTAGATGTAAAAGCCATTGGATTCACTGTAACTGTGCAATCCGCACACATATAACAAATCAGATCCATCCTGCAGATTTCAGATTCTTGTGCAAAAGCAAAGAGGATTTAATCATCTGGTCAGTCTGTCTAATGTGAAATATGTTGAGGAGATGGATTGTTACATGTGCTAAGGGAGTTTTATACTTCATGTGAACCCTACTGCTGCACAGCAGCTGTGATCTAAGATCAGCAGCCCAGCTTGTGATATGGTTCTGGTCCCCTGGGGGTCCTTGAGAGAGTAAGGGTTCAGAAGAGCTAGCTGATATTAAAAAATCACCTACTCCAATCTCAAGAATTATTCATCCCAACTAAATCAAGCAAAGGCAGTGGGATGCCAGCATGGGTGAGCAAGGAGCTCCTGAAAAAAGCTCAAACATTAAAAAAGAAGCATAGAGGAGGTGAAAGAAGGGACAGCTGTTCCAGGAGGAATATAGATACACTTTCTATTGCAGAAGGATGGGGGCAGGAGAGCCAAAGCTCACCTGGAGCTGAATCAGGTGAGGCAGGTGAAAGGCAGCACAGAGGGCTTCTACAGGTCCATTAGCAGCAAAAGAAAGACATGGGGAAATGTAGGTCCACTGTGAATAGCAGGAGGAGTCCTGATGGCAATAAAAGACACAGAAAAGCCTAAGGCATCTTCTGTTCTTCCTTTACTTGAAATCCCAGGCCTTTGAGATAAAAGCAAATCTGGAGCAAGGAAGACTTACCCTTGGCTGAGAAGGATCAGGTTAGGGAACATTTAACCAAGTAAATGCATGGGACGTGATGGGAAACACCCATGGGTGCTGAGGATGCTGGATGATATCACTGTGAGACCACTCTTGATTGTCTTTGAAATGTCATGGGGCCTGAGAAAGGTTCCTGAAAAGTGGAAGAAAGCAAATGTTATTCCCACCTTCAGCAAGAGTAAGAAGGAGGATTCAGGAAACTACAATTGGGTCAACCTCACCTTGATACCTGGGAAGGTAACAGAATATAATCATGGAAGCCATTTGCATACACGTGAAGGTTAGGGAACATATTAAGAGTATTAAGAATGGATTTATAAAGGCTAAATCTTCTTGACCAATCTAACAACCTATGATACAAACACTGGGTTGCTGGATGAAGGGAGAACAGTGGATACTGATTGTGCATTTATGAAGTTTTCCTGTGCTGGAACACTGGAAGACAACATCCTTATTGACAAACTGATGAAGTGTGGGATAGGTAAATGGAGAGTGATGTGAACTGAAAATTGGCTGACCTGTTGGACTCAAAAGGTTCTGACTAGTGGTACAAAGTCACTTCTGATGTCCTCCAGGAGTAGACATGGGATCCTGTGTTGTTTAACCTCTTCATTAAAGGTCTGCACAGAGGAACAGATTGTAGTCACACAAGCTTGCAGACAATATAAAACTGGGAAGAGTGTCTGAAACACCAGTGGATTATGCTGTCATTCAGGGCGACTTGAAAAGGCTATAGAACTGGGCCAAGAGGAACCTCACAATGTTCAGCAAAGCAACATGCCATGTCTTACAGTCCTTAGAGAGAAATAACTCCATGCACTATACATATTGGGGACTAACTGGCTAAGAGGCGGCCTTGCAGAAAAAGGCCCTGAAAGTTCTGATGGACACCAAGTTGCCCAGAAGTCTGCAATGTGCCCTTATGGCAAAGAAAGTACTGCCTTGGGCTGCATTGGGCAGAGCATTGCCAGCAAGCTCTGGGAGGTGATCCTTCCCTGCTGCTTAGCACTGGTGCAACCCAGTAAAAGAAGGGCATATACTGGAGCGAGAAGTCAAAGAAAGGGTCAAAAAGATGATTAAAGGACTGAAGTATCTGTCACATGATTTGAGGCTGGGGCTGCTCAGTCTGAAGGAGAGGTGGCTCAGGGAGATCTCAGTGTACAAAAATATCTGATGGGGGGTTGGGTGTAAGGAAGAGGAGTCAGACTATGGAAGAATTTCCTCACTGAAAGAGTTGTCAAGAACTGGACCAGGCTGCCCAGGGAAGTAATGGAGTCCCCATCCGTTCGAGAAACAACTTGATGTGACATTTAGTGCTATGGTCTAGTTGATATGCTGGTGTTCGGTCACGTTGGACTCAGTGATCTTGGAGGTCTTTTCCAACCTTAATGATTCTATGATTCTGTGACCCTTCTCATGTGCTGGGAGAAGAGGAAATTGGCAGAAAATAAAGGAAATAATTTTTTTATTTACTCTTCAGGTGATCAAACAATAGAACAAGTTTCTGAGACAGGGTGTGAAGGCTCTGTCCCTGGAGATATTAAAAACCCAATTGAGCACAACCCTAAGCAACCAGTTGTAACCTCACTATTCACTGTGTACTGCTGTGTGTGGTTTTGCCTGTGTTTCTATCCTTCGTACCTTGAGGGCAGCCTCTTATCATGGCCTGCCTTGGGTGTGACCTCAGACAGGGCAAAGAAGGAGCTTAGTCCCACTACCCATGGACATAAGGCCTGAGCCTGACCATGTCATGGGTCTTGTACTATGAATTTGCTCTCTTTGTGTTCACTGTTCACTCCCGTGGAAAGCTGGTTGACTCCTCAAAAACAGAAAATGATGCTATCATCAGACTTTTTCTAGTTCCCCAAGGAAGGCTAGTTACATTAAAATGTAAAATTCAATCTCAACAGATTTGTCATAACAAGCCTCAGGGCTGCTGATCTCAGGGAGTCAAGGAAGCTGGATCAGCAGGACAGACTGAACAACTTCCTGAGATGTTTATTAATTAGCATGAACAACAACGTTCTTTGTGCACTGGTACCCCTCTTTCATATTGAGTCCCTAATGCAGTTGGTTCAGTTTAGGAATAAAAGGTACTGAGATAGATTCGAACAGGGTAATGTTCAGGAAAGTCTAACAGGCTGAAAATGGGTAGCATGCTTTGGGAACCTTATTTTTGCAATGAGCATCTAGTAGAAGTGCCTGGCCTCTGTAGGGTGATTAGAAGAGCTACAAGGCAGAGCTAAACATCTCCCTGACATGGTCAGAAAAGAGGGCTGGGTGACTCAGTGTCCCAGCAGTGTTCCTACAGGCAGAGCAGAAAGTTGCCTGCTGGTATGAAATACTGGTCCCAGCAGCATATCTAATTTACTCTCTCTCATTCAGCATTTCAGTCCACAAGCAGTGAAAGTCATCAGGTCTTCTAAGCAAAGGTACCTACTGGAGGAAGAGAGGTGGCTTTGTTTGCCTGATAACCTTGTGGTCAGAGCACCTGCCTGGGTTGGTGTGGAAACGCTGCTGATCACATGCTGAGACACAACCAAAGGATGGTAACACTCTGCTCTGCAGTTTTACCCTGGAGGAAGGACCCTCCAGCAGAGGATCTGAGCAGGGTCGTGAGAGTCGGAAAATATTAAACCATTATAACCAGATTAGTTAAATATTTCTCTATCAGAGCCACTGAGAAGATAAGTTCTTAACAGTCCAAAATATGTGACAGTCTCCCAAGAGAAATGGTGAAAATACAGTCTGAAACATTTCTAAATAGCTAATAAATATACTGTTTTGAGCACACCATATACAGACGCTAGATGGACTAGATGACTTATGTTCCTTTGTAAATCTGAATGTCCAGTAGCAGAAATATTAAGAAAGGAGGCAATCAGTACCATAATCAACTTTTTTTCCCCCTTTTCTTGTGCAGAGGAATGAGATTATTATTCATATCGCAAAGCATATTGCAAAGACTGATTCTTTCAAGATCCCTTTGTTTAAGCGTGACTGCATCCCTCATCCAGAGCTTGCTCTCTCCACGGCATGGATCCACCTCGGGGTCATCATCTTCTTCTTAATAACTTTTGGATTATTCTCTGGCCTCCTGACCCAACTTAAAATACTTGTGTCAACTTCTTTTTATCCTGATGTTGCAATGAAACGGATACATCATTTGCATGCGAAATTACTCAAGAAAAGAGCAAAAGTACAAGAAAAAACTGTGAAGAACATGTTTGCTAGAAGGGTAAGCCATCAGCTCTAGGGAAAAAATAAATCTTTCTCTTGCAGGGTGGTAGCCAGACCCAGGAAATACTTAAACACTTGTTAACTTCAATTATTTATTAGCACATAATTGACTTTCCCCAGTGGTGTCCTGCTCAGGGGGCAGAGACAAGTTACCTAATACTGAGATTAGATCATCTAATTGTTTTGTTCTGTCGTTCAACACACATGCCTCAGACATGACATCAGTACACGCAAATGACTGTGTGCTGGTAAGAAAATACTTCTCAGTTTCAGAGTTCTCCAGAGAAGAAACGTCATTTTCATGAACATATGAAAAGCACAAAGAGTATTCCTGTGACACAGATAGCAAGTGTTAGGCAGTAAGAGCAGCCTCTAAATGTTGAGAAAGATGTTCACTTAATGCTTAGAAAAACAGAAGGTGATATGTTTCTTTTTAAAACACAATATGATTGCAAATACCATTGGAAAACAGAACTTTTCTGCCTGCAAGAACATTTATCTTGTATCTATATGTATATATAGACTAATGGAAATAACAAACACACATTTACCTATGGCAAGTCCAGATAGATAGCTGCAGATACATATAGTTTGTTTAGGTTTCGTTTTTTTACAGCCTTCAATACTGACTATACAAGATATTAGTGTTTGGGTGATCTCTAACTCAGTAACACTATGATCATATTTCTTTCTTTTCAGGTCAGTTTTTGGTTTCCAATACTCAAGGCAACAGAGGTAGTGAGGAAGAAAGAAAGGAGTGTGGCAAAATGACAACATGGTGTGAAAAAGACCAAGTGAATCTTTGGATATGGCTGAAATGCTTTAGCTCCACAGGGACCCGCATTTTGCACCATCTTTCCTATGGAATGTCAATTTTAAAATGTAAAAATATCAAACTCAAAGGCTGAGCATCAGTATTTTTGAAAAGTGTTAAAAAGAAGCCATTGTAGATACTGTGCAGTTCATCACAGATTGCTCTGGATTACATTAACACTCGTTTTTCAACCTTGGGTTTGCATTATCTGGTACTTTACGAATTCATTCTGTTCTATCTAAAAGCAATCAAACAGTTTGGACCTTTTAGAACTACAGAACCTCTTTGGGTTGAGCTAACAGAAGATGTAATGACAGCAGCAGGTTTGTCTTCTTTACTTTGCCAGAGACTGAAGATAGCAGACACAGCAGAGGCTGTCTATTTCCTTCTGGCATGGACAAGAACCAGGCCTTAGGTGTTTCTGGTAATTTCTATCTATTTCTCAACCCTCAACTGCCACAAATCCTTCAGCCTGGTTCTTTGCCATCCCTAGCTCCCAGTCTCCTACCTAGTCTCCTACCCAGAATTCCTCACTTGGTCTTAGTCTCCTACTTCCACATGTCCATAGACTGTATCACTAATTCAGATTGTACCATGTCTGATGATCATGAGAGAGGTGATGTAACATGTAGAAGCGAGAATGCTCACTCACGAGAGCTAGAATACAGAGGAATCAGGTGGTGTGGGTGCAGATGAGATGGTTTTGAAGTGTAGGAGATATAAGCAAAGGTGAATGTTTCGAATCTTGAAATCTGAGGAAGCTTGCATAAGTGGCAAAAATGGGCTTAATTACATTGCCTAATTCACCATTGCCTTCAGTGAAATAAAACTGAGCCAATACTGAAGTGCGATATTCAGTGCTTCACCTGTTCAACTGACATTGGTGATGTGACCTTCATATGACACAGGAGCAAATATAAAAACCCTAAAGACACAGGAACGACTGACAAAGTACTAGAGATTTAATGTAGAGCTAAATTTAATGTAGAGCTAAAAATCTATCCAGCAGGCAGTGTACTCTTGATTTTCAGCCACAGCCAGTTCCTTTTTTTAGGTTACATAACAGGAAATTCTACTCTGTTCCTCTATAATACATGCGTGGTGGCAGGACAGCCATTGATCAATGTCTCTGTTATCTGAATGAATAAAGACTGACTTAAAACTGTCTAGCAAGTGTCAGAAGTTATTTTCCACCTAAAAAACTGAAAAACACCACGTCTGTTTTTCTTTGGGCCTTCCAAAGCTTCACTCTTCCATGGATACAGGTGGTTCAGGTTGCTGGTGTGACAACAGTTTGTCTCTAGAAAATGGTGCTCAATCAAAGCATTACTGAGGGTTGTGCTGAATGTCTCCGAGAGGCTTGAGTATATCCTTTTTTGCTGAAGTGGGACAGCCCTGGATAGTAGCAGGGTGTCTGTTTGTATCTCAGGTACTACTGTCAAGGACCAGTAGCAAGAAGCATTCTGGCGAAAGACAAGCAATTAGAAGGTTGCCCTAAATTTGGATCTACAGACTAGCTATCCAGGTACTGTTGACAAGAGGATACACTCTTGTCATTGCAGATTAAAGGGGAAGAGTTAAATGTCAGCAAGAACTGAGCATTTTAGTCAGAGTTCTGGCAAGTTCATTGCTGGCAGGAGTTAGATGTGCTCCTTTCAGTCCCAAAGGACAGGCTGGTGAGAAGCCCAAATCTCCTACTGAACACTATGCCCAAAGGTTGGGGCAAGTCTGGATAAAAACACTACTACAAAACACCACCTGCTTCACTTGGCATCAGGAGGCAAAATTTGTTTTAGAGTCTCTTGCCTTTCCTGTTTGATGGTGTTGCCACCCAGCATACCTTTTCTCTCTATTGTTCTGCAAGGAGCAATCAAAAACTTTACAGCCCATGAGAATGGTTTATCAAAATTACTCAGATAACAGTCAATAGTTTAGATGCCTAAATCTGTCAGGACTTTGAATCTTGGAGAATACACTCAGGACAATGTCATGTCTGCACTTTTTTGTTTACTTAAGGAAATTCAGCCTATTCTTCTATGAAGAAGAGCCTTGCAGGATCACAGAACAATGTTGTGTGAATTCTGTGGCTCCCACCACTACCTGACAGGGCAGTTAACTAAGTACTGCTTAGTTTGCCCTTCAAATTGGCAAGACTCATGACAGTGACAAAAGACAATCCTTCTTGGTAAGCTAATTGTAATTCTGTACAATATGTTCAGTTCTGGTAAACATTTTACCTAGATGATTGATCACACTACAAGTGATAGAAGACATGGAAAAACCCAAGGTTTTTCTTGGTCTTAGTCTTTACAGGTAGTACTGGTTTTTAGCCATACCAGGCCCCTCAGACCAGAGGGAAAGGCTGGAGCAAGGAAGACTTACTCCCCATGAAGGATGATATGGCTAGAGAGCAATTAAACAAACAGCTCATACTTAAATCCATACGACATGATTGGAGGTACCCATGGGTGTTGAGGGTGCTGGATGATGTCACTGTGAGGCAACTCTCAATTATCTGTAAAAGGTCATGGTGATCAGGAGAGGTTACTGAGGACTGGAAGAAAACGAATGACCCTCTCACCTTCTAGCTGGGCAAGAAGGAAGATCTTCTAACTAACAGGTTTGTCAGCCTCATCTCAATCTGTGGGAAGGTGATGGAGCAATTTCCCCTGGAAGCTATTTCCAAACATAAGGGCCAGTAAATTGACAGGTATATCACTGAAACACAAGAAAAACGTTTTTACTGTGAGGGTGGTCAAACGCAGGAACAGGATGCCCAGAGAGGTAATGGAATCTCCATCCTTGGAGATACTCAAAGACATGACTTTGAGTAACTCAGAAGAGCAGGGCTGGAGCAAATATCTCTAGAGGTGTCTGACAGCTGCAGCCATTCTGTGATTTAGTAACTTTTACACAAAGCTTTGTAGATAAAATATTGAACATTCACAGTAAAACCTTGTTTTAATTTGTGAATATGCTGTGCCAGCAGCAAGGTGCCACCGGACAAATATTGTTACCATTACACTCATACTAGAGACACATACTTGAGTGGACTAATGCACTCTGTTTGTGTGACCATGCATGTGCATACCTGCGTGCCAGAGATGAGCTGAATGGCAGACAAAGGAGATAAATTTGCTCTTCCCCATCTCCCTCAACCTGGATTATCGGGGAAAGTGGCATATTCTGCACTTTTTTTTAAAAAATTCTAAATCAAATTCACCTTCTATGTCTCAAAGACATTGAGTTTTATCTCAGTGGTAGGAAAATTCTTACCCTTACCTACAGTACTAGTCCTATTTCTTCAGCTGCCCAGTGGTCCTCTTTAGTTGTACAGATGAAAAGGTAGGTCTATCTCTCCCTTGGCATTACACAGAGACATACTTTTCATTCTCTGCAGACCTTTTTGGCTTTTTGTTTTCTCCCATTTTTTTCTGTCTTATGAGCAGGGGAAGTCTGGGGATTTGTTTATCTTCAGCTGTCTCCTCTGCAAGTTGTTCAGCTATTTCTTTGGCCTCTCCATTTACCATAACCCTCAACCTCAGGATTACATTGTTCCTTTTTCTTTAAAAAAAAAAAAAAAGTCTACGAGTTACAAAAAACCCCCAGCATTCCATTCACAATTATTTCTGTTCCTCTTCTTGTCTACCATCTCCTCAGATTTCTTACATTTTATTTTGGCTCTTTTCCTCTGTCTTTGTCATTCATGGTCTTCTTTCCTCTTTTAGTATGTTTTCTTCAGGCCCAATAGAAAATTATTCTCCATACATAAAAGCATGTATTTCTTTTCTTTCTGCTGAACTAAAGGTGCAGTTGAAATTAGGGACTTTATTTATTCATTTGTTCGTATAATAGAAATTTTTAATATCTTTCATGTTACTGGACATTTTCTCTAAATGCCTCTGCAGAATTTGTCAGAAATGCACTCTGCACTCAGAAGAGTCTGAGGAGAAGTCTGAATTTGGGTTTTGACTCATTCCTCCCTCTCCTTCCCTCAGTTCACAGCAGAGCTCAACTTCCTTTTTAAATGTCCTTCACTAGTGCAGAAGCTGTTTGATTTACTGTGAAAAATCCTCCAATTGGATCAAATCTAGTTTGTAAAATTAATGAAAGGCTGACCTAATTGTCTTGTGAAGATAATTCAGAGAGACATGCTAGTGCTCCTGACCCTTCTGGAGCACAATACAAACAAGGACATTTCCTTTCAGCAACCTTGTTTATGGAACTCTCCTTATCACCACTGCATACCCCCAAACCTGGCTGGCTTCACAGCCAAGCTAAAGGCTTCTTTTCCTTCATGCTAGTTTTGTTGCAGCATTTTGTGAGAGCAGCTGGGTGTGCAAAGTCAGAGGATGCTGGATTTACAACTGCTTTCTCCCTGATTCCTGCTCTGTCAATATTATCACACTGACTCACTCTGTTTTCATCACAGTTTAAATAGCTCAGAGGTGCAATTAAAGAAGAAATGAATAAGCAAAGCCTTTCCTCTGTTCGGCTTTACATTGCAAAAGTGAAAAGTAAGGATGAAAAGATCACTCTCTGATGATCATGAAATAAAGCCTGAAAATAGGGATGTTATTGTCGACTTTAGGGGCACAGATTCCAAAACACGTAAACATGTTTCACGGGTGCTGCTGTGCATGAGAGCATCTCCTTCTCGTTTCATACCTGATACATTGTACCTGCCCTGCCCTCCAGTGGCTCAGTACTGCCACATGTCCCAGTACCGCTGCTCTGCAGAGATCCATCCCCTGTACTTTAGGCTGAGGAGAGAAGCACTGCAGATGTAGCTGCACCACAGCCATGAGCTTTCACAGGCAGTGAACTGATAGCTAACAACTGGGCAATAAACACATGCTGTCTATATGAGGCTTTCTCTGGCAAATGATGAGGATGAAAGCAGTATTATGTGTGTAGGGATCAGATCTCCCAAATTCCTTTTCTGCTCCTTCCCCTG